CGTCCATCGACAACATTGGCTACCTCTGCGGCGCGTGGACGCTCGAGTGGCAAGGTGTCTCTGGCAACGCCCGCTTTCCCAAGGGCAAGTCGATTATTAAAGGCTTCCAGGACCTCTACGGCGCCGACGCGAACAAGATTCAAATGCTTCAGGTACAGTTATTTCACAACTTCCGTATGTACTGCATGCTGATGAGCACATAGGGTGTCGACATCAATGGCGGAACAACCGACTCGCTCGCGACGGCCAAGGCCAAGGCAAGCGCATCGCAGTACACTATCATTGCGGTCGGCGAGGCACCATCGACCGAGGTGCCTGGCAATATCGCTGATGCGGCGCTACCATCCGGTCAGCTCCAGTACATTCGCGATATTGCCTCCACCGGCACCAAAGTCATCCTTGTCCTCGTGGAGGCGCGTCCGCGTATCCTCAACGGTGTCGCCGACGTCGTCCACGCCGTCATTGACGCGATGCTGCCCTGCGAGGCCGGTGGCCAGGCCATCGCCGAGATCATCCTCGGCCTCACCAACCCCAGCGGCCGGCTCAGCATGACGTACCCCAAGGACACGACGTACGCCAACATGGTCACTCCGTACTTCAACCGCAAGAACGGTGTGTGCATCACCGACTCGTGTGTCGCCGAGTGGGACTTTGGCGCGGGTCTAAGCTACACGACGTTCAGCTACACCAACTTTGCGCTGAGCAGCACCCAGGTCAGCGGCAGCGGCACCATCACGGCCGCAGTCACGGTTACGAACACGGGCGCGGTGCAGGGCAAGGAGGTGGTCCTCCTCTTTCTCTCGCAGCAGACGCGCGCGAGCGGCACGCCGGAAACCAAGATGCTCAAGAAGTTTACCAAGGTCGACCTTGCGCCGGGCCAGTCGACGTCCGTGACGTTCTCGCTTAGCGTCGCTGATTGGGGCATCTACGCCGGGCCGATCGGGTCGGGGCTGACCAAGACGGCCGAGGCGGGCACGTACTACGTCGCGTTCAAGCCCGAGACGATTTGCAACGCGGCGACCGTCGGTCCGCTCTGCCAAGCGTTCACGTACGGCACTCCGCCGACTCCTACGCTAACTCCTACGCCGACTCCTACGCCGACACCCACGCCGACACCCACGCCGACACCGACACCCACGCCGACACCGACACCCACGCCGACACCGACACCCACGCCGACACCGACACCCACGCCAACACCGACACCTACGCCAACACAAACACCTACGCCGACTCCTACGCCGAAACCGACTCCTACGCCCTCGACAGACACGACGATGTCTTTTTACACGACCCGGGGCCGCATCGTGGGCGCCGATGCCAACAACATTTGGACACAAGTACCTGGCGTGTCGCCAAGCTTGAGTCAGCAGCTCATCTACAACAGCGTGACCAAGCAGCTTCGCGACAGGAACCTCGGGCGGTGTTTTGATGTGTACCCAGACGCGTCGGCGCCAATCAAGTACCGTCTCCACATGTACGCGTGCGATCCAGCCAACGGCAATCAAAAGTGGACGCTCAACGCGGCGACGCGCAAAGTTCTCCACGCGAC